GGGGAAGCCACCGTTTAAGAGCGGGTTCTGAGAGAAGAGCAGTCACGCTGCTCTTGCCGCCCAGCCCGCCTGGGTGAGGGCGTCTGCGTCCCCCCAGCACCATCCCGGTCCCTGTGGTGTGGAGCCTGGTGAACTCACCTGCTGGAATGAAGCTTCGACCAGGTTAGAAGGAAACATGTTTCTGTAAGAGAGCAATTGCACGGGGGTTAAAGTGCATCGTGAGGACACGAGGAACAATCTGGGCAGCGCCTCTGGCGAGCGCGAGGCCAAGAGGTAGAACATGACAGCTGGCAGCCGCCTCACGTCCTCTGAGCCAGCTGAGGGGGAAGACAGGCTGGAAGATCTGCAAAGAACAGGACTGTGAACCATGCAGAGACTGGGCTCGGCCAGAGGTGGGGATGGACATCTGCCACCTCCAGCCCCCTGCTCGGAGCAGGATGCTTAGAACATCCTTGTCCTGTCGAGCAAACGCCTCCAGAAATGGAGATTCTCCCCCAGCCCTGGGGTCCGCGCTGCACCGCCTCCCCAGTTAACCCTTGTCGGTGGCTTTAATCCAGCCTTTTAATGCACCTCCTGCTCCTTGCAAAGCCCAAGGAGCTGCAGGGCTGAGGCTGCAGGGGTTGAACCGTGAGCTCTGCAGGGAGTTTAAATCTGCCCGGTGTCTGCTGCCCCCTCTGTGCTGCTGGAGGAGAGCAGTGGGGGCGGCAGGGTGGCCACGGGGACAGGAGTGGGGAGAAATGAACCCCACGTTGCTGGGCTTGGAGGTACCGGTGCCTGGTCAACGTGGCCGACGTTTCCCCCAGTGCCTCCTGGGCACGTGGTTCCGTGAGACGGCTCCATAGCCCTGGGTCCTCCTGAAATCCTACCTGATCAAATCCAGCAACGCGTCGGCGGAGCTCAGCACCACTTTCCCCACGGAGTAGTTGTCCTTCTGGGCAGCTGCGCCAGGGTGGATGCTGACCACGAGGATAATCCCCACGGTCACTGCCATGAAGGTTGTCCAGAGGTAGTAGGTGATGGTGATCACCCCCATCTTCCCGCAGGCCTTGGAGTCCATGGTGGCCAGCCCAGACATGAGGCTGCAGCAGAAGAGATTGTGGTCACAAAACCGCACAAGGTGCATCTTGGGCAAAATCGCCAAGGGAGAAGAAGTTTCCAGACATATTTTTTTTAAGGGCGTGACTGAACTCTTGCACATTTGTATGCCTGGACCTTTACGATCTCAGGCCCAGGACAGGCTTGTGGCAACCCATGCTGAGCTGCAAAGGGTAAGAGATACCTCTGTGAGTCCCTCCTTGAGGTCTGGCCATGGCTTCTGTTTTCTCCAGGGGACAAGAAATAAATATTCTGAGCACAGTTTGATGTGAATAACTAACACTGCTCTTTTTCACGTGTGATGCTCTTCTCTTAAATCTCTGATGCCCTGTGCTGCTGCACATGTCACCGTGAACAGCGAAGAACGGTGTTAGCAAGGTTTATAAAACCCTGGTGGGGACGTACTCGGCTGCCCCAAGGAGAGAGCTGCTGGCTCAGACTTCACGTACACATAAGCTTGCCTAAGAAGTAACCTATAAGCTACTTTTAAAAAAAAATGCTAAAAATAGAGAGGGTATTACTGGCTGCACTAGCAGGGAGAGCTGGCCGGCAGCCGTGCTGGCACTTGGGGCAAATGGGAGCGTTGGGGGCTGCGCTGTGCCCCGTGGGCACACACCCCCACCCCTGGCTCCTGGCCGCTGGTTTCTGCTGCTCCAGCCTCCCCGGGGCCTCTGGCCAAGCTGGTCCGTCGGGCTCAGCAGTGACCTGACCCCTGGGTGAGACCTGCTGGAGACAGAGGCTGCAAGGGTTAACGCCATCCTTGGGGACACCCAGGGATGCGTGGTTGAGGTGGTGGCCAGCCCGCAGATCCCCTCCAGCAGCCACTTGACCAGGAGGAGAGAGGCCCTAAGAAGTTCAAAAGCAACTAAGAAGTTCACAGAAGCAACGCCGAGGTGGGTGACACTCTCCAGCGTGAGGTTTCCAGAGCTGACCCCCAACAAATCCACCCCCAGAGCACCCCTGGTCCCCTGTGGTGGATAGAGGGGAGACACCACTTCATGATCAGTAATTAAATAAGGAAAAAGCCTGGCTTGATTCAACGTGCAAGAAGAAGCCTGGGAGCCCTGGGCTGAACTTGCACCCACAAGCAGGAGAATGGTCGGGTGGGACGACCCGGCTGGGAGTGCTGAGAGCACCCCAAGGGCGAAGGAAAACCCCGGCCGCCCGTCTGGGAAGGGGGTAGGAAATACTGGAGGTGGAAGGCAAGTGCAGCTCTGCAAGGGCTGGTCCTGAAACAGCCAAACGCAACCACGATGGAGACCACGCTGCTCCCAAAAAGCAACCCAAGGCAAGCAGGACAGCAAACCAAGCGAAAAACAGTAGAGAAGGGACCCATCCCCAAGGGAACGAAATGCTGATTGGGTACTTCTAGTGAGCAGGTGCCAGCAAGTGTCTGAAATACGTAAATCCACGTCAGCTTTTCAAGACTTGCTGACACCTGAGTGTGGCGCTCTCAGCTCTATTTCCTATTTCTAGGTCTGGACAGGCTGCTAAAAGTGGGATTTGCCAACAAAGACACAACATTGAGGTGTGCTTGTGGTTTCTACCTGAACTTTCTCAGAACCCTCTAAATAAGGAAATCTGCTTTGAATTGTAACAGCTGCCCATCATTAACCACCCACGGATGGTCCTGGGCCCAAAAAGAAGGGAAATATCCCAGGCAGTGCAGGTGTGTGACCTGGTACAGGGGTTTACCAAATCCAGGGGAGGATTTGTGCCAGACAGTGGCTGGAAATCCTGGGATTTGGTGGACTCTAAGCCAGGGGATGCTGTTGGTTGCTGGCTGCTTGGCGCTGGGGTTGTTCTCACCCCAGGCGGTTTGGGGGTGATCTCTTCAATGGGGGATCACGGGGGGATCTCAACCTGCTGGAGATATGGGGCTTTAGAAGCAGGAGGTGCTGTCTTACCTGGAGGTGATCAAGGGCAGGATCAGCATCTTCAACATCCTCATGAGGAGCTCTCCAGGAAAGGAAAAGTACTGCTTCTCCTGCACATGGAGCAGAGCCGTTGTGTCAGGTGAGAGCTTGGAAAGTGGGTGCTGATCACGAGGTAAGGGCCCAAACCTGACAAATTCGCCTTTTTCCCAACCATCCCCAGCTCTGAGCTTGTTCTCCAGCCGGCAGCCGTGCCTTGAGCCCCTCGGAAACGCTGTTTCTGTGGCTGTGACTTACCGGGAGCTGTACTGGGGGGGAAGTACTGGGGATATGTAGGAAACCGGGCTGTGATGTGGAGAGGGGCATGTGGGGCTGGTCCTGTCCCGACAGCACCCTTGGGTCTATCACACTCCAGGGAATGGTCACCATGGCCCCACCGCTGGCTCCTCCTCAACATCGTTGCACTTGTTATTGGGGAGCAGAGGCTCGACTGCACCTGCAAAAGTGCCCAAAAGGTGTTGGGGACAGCAGCAAAAGGTGAAAATACCCTGTGGCTGCAAATGGCAAAGCCAAGCTCAGGGAGAGCCTGGGTGTCTGGCCCATCTGTGGTGCAGCCTCGCAGTGCTCCGCGGGAGATTTCCACCCCATGGCATCTGTCCACCTGCCACACTCCTCCCATGGGCGTGGGGAAGGGCTGCCTGGACAGAAACCCCCAAACCCCAGACCAGCAGGTACCTGGCCGGCCTCCCTCCATCCACCACCCACCCAGCTACCTTCCCTCCCTCTCCTTCTGCCCCCCAGCCTTTCCCTGTGCTGCTGTAGAGGTGTCAGGGACAGGTGTGAGATGGCCCCAACCCCAGCAGGTGTTTTTCATTACTCCAAAGTAACCAACCCCACCAGGCTTTGAGGGATGCAGGCTATTAAAACAAAAGCTCTGCACACACTGCGGTCCCTGCTGTCACCACCCGCGTGACCCGGGCACCTCGCGCAGGGCAGAGCCGTGATGGGTCCACACGGACACAAGGGGTGACAGCGGATTTGACCAGCGACTCTTTTGTGGGACTTTCCCATCACGGGGAGGAAAGCAGGGACCAGCTGCTTCCCCAGCCCCTCCTCTGTGGCGTAGATTTTGGAAACGAAAGGTTCTAACGCGGAGAAGTGGCTGCCCGGGACCTCATGCAGGGCTGTGGCAACAGGGGGGGGGAGGAGGATGGACAAACTCATTGCATGGCAGGACAAGGGACAGGAGCCCCTGGGCTCTGCCAGCCTCAAGCCCGGTGTGGGTGGCTGCACCAGGGCACAGGGAGGTTGCATTAAGTAACAAGATGATCCTCGCGGCGGGTGTTGATGCCGGAGGTGTAATTGAAGTGACAAGACTTTGTTAAATCCTCCTGGG